CTGGACACTGGGTCTTGTGTCTGCCTCCTCCTCATCAGGGTTCCTCAGACAGGCTGCTTTGGGACTTGATTCCTTGTCTCTAAAATGGGATAACTATGCCTTCACCACTGAACTGTCTAGTAGGTGAACTGTTTGGATTTCAGGTGCAATGAGCCCCAGCTGCAGGGCAGAGATAAAAATGCATGGATGTTGGAGGCAGAGGGTCCTCCGATTGAATGCTGAGCTGTGTGACATAGAGCATATGAATGAACCTCTCTGGGCTTTAGTCTCCACACTCGTAAGGTAGTCATGGCTATCCTTTACCCAATGTCTCATCTGTGTCTGACATATATGTTCCTTAAATCTTATACCACCCTGCATGGCTGGCACTGTTAGTCAGCCTCATTTTACAGATGAGAAAGCTGAGGCTCTCTCCTCCCCAGCTTCCTCTAAATAGCTGGTCCCATGGCAGGGACTGGACATGCATGGGCTGTCTGGTGGATTTCCTGCCCCTTGTGACAACACTCCCCTACTTATTAGGAAAGTGTGCAGTATGGATTGTGCATAAGTGGAGAGAGACGTCAATTTTTCCATCAAGCAGGAAGTGCTTATTCCAGGCCAGCTATGCTCCTCAAACCCCAGGCCCGCTCTCACCTCAGGGCCTTTGCATGTGCTATTTCTCTGCTTGGAACGCTCTTCCCCCAGTATCTGAACAACCCATCATCTCATTCAGGTCTCTCCTAAGCTGCTCTCCCCAATCCCACCCTTCCCTGACACCAAATCTGAGATGACCCCACTGTCCACTCAAGCCTGCCTTTGGTCCATTGAGAGCACTCAATGCCACCTAACATCATTTAGTTCTTTATTATCACACCCTCCCCAGCCCCCATCAGGGGGGTCAGGCATGTAGCATGTGCCCAGGACACGATGTGTAGAATGAGAGCTCAGGGCTAGGGACAGGGTGTTAAATATCACCTTCTTGTGGGGTGCTCATGTTTAGCCCCATGAGCCCCCTTATGTTTCCCATTTCACAGGTGAGAAAACAGGCTCAGAGAGGTGCCATGATCTACCCAAGACCACACAGCCAGTAACCCAGAGAGGCCTGAGCTCTTATAACTGCCTGACTTTCCAGAATCCCTGCAGAGGTGATTCCCCCCAACTTACATACCTCCAGTGACAGGGATCTCAGTATCCATCTGAAGCTACTTATTTACCTCTTGACCAGCTCTGATTGTTAGAAATTTCTTCTTATATGACAAAGCCAAACCTGGCTCCATACCTGTTTCTTGGTCCCAGTGCTATCTAGAGCCACTGAGAACACGGCCAGTGATCCCCCTCAAGGCCCTTTGGATACTTACTAACCTGTTATCTCCTGCCCCTGAAATCTGCTTATTCAAGGTACACAGCCTCAGGCCCTCCACTGCTCCTTCTATGCCACAGTATCGAGTCCCCCACCCTTGGGTCCAGCTGCCCAGGGTCATGCTTGCTGCCAAGGTCCCTCCTAAAAATGTGTCACCTGGAGTCAAGCATCAGTGCCAAAGTGGTCTAGGCAGTGGCAGGCACCAGGGGCCCTCTGCCTCCATTGGTGTGACACCATGCCTGTTAGAGCAGTGAGAGTGTGCCAGCATTGTGTCCTTGTCCTGTTGTCCTAGATGTCACCACACTCCCTTCACACATACCACCAGGCAGCTCCAATGTCCTCAGGACGCCCTGTTTGGGTTTCACCCGAGGTGCTGGGTGTCTGTCCACCCCCATTCAATCACATCTTGTTAGTCTCAGGCCTTTGTGCCAGCTGCTCCACATCTCGGGGGAGCTGGGTTCTGCCCCTCGATACCCAGCACCGGCTCCCAGCTTCATGCCATCCTGCACTGGGCGAGCAGGCCACATAGCCATGTCACCAGGAAACGGGAAACGGCCTGCAGCTCACCCCCGGGGCAGGTAGGGCACACTGTCCAACCAGCTGCACACTCACCCACGTTCCTTATACATCCGCAGTGTTTACTGCACACCTACTATGTCCTCGGCACTGCACTGAGCTCCAACTTACCCGGAAGAGCTCAGCAAGAAGACCGCCTGAGCAGCAGAGGCAGCTGACAGTAACTGGGTTTACAAGGCCTCGATGTACTGGGCACTCAGCTCCGAGCCCAGTGAACCCGGCCCAAGAAAGGGATCGGGCTAGTGCGCAGTGTTACAGGCAGTTAAGACACAGTGGTGGCTGGCTCACTGTGTGACCTTAGCAGGTCAATGCTTTACCCCTCTGGGCCTCAGTTTCCTCATCTGTTCAAGGGAGAAGAGCTGTGTACATGTGTCTCTGCTTTACTGGGCCCACCCCAAAGCCCTCTGTAAACTGCCTACTGGGTCATTCCCCATGCACTCAACTGGTCCCTGGGCCTCCCCTGCTCCCAGGGGTGTCACATCTGTCATTAACACCTGTGCTGTGTCTAGACCTCAGTGGAAGGAGGTGGGCAGGAGGATGGAAGGGTTTTTACCAAAAGGCCTGGCCTTGGGAAACCACCCAGCAGGCTGACAGGAGAGGCCCCAACACTCACTCTGTGGGAAGCTCTTCACAGACAGCCCGGGCCACACGGCCCACTCCCTGGCACCCACTCCCCAGCCCCAAGCAGCCCAGAACCCACCCCACCCACCACCTTGATAGAGCATGTGATCCTCCTGCCCACAGCCAAGGATGACCATATTAAAAGTCCATCTCCTACTCCCATCCCAGGGTCATCTCTGGCTTTCCAAGAATCCTCTAGGCTATTCAGATGACTGCCTCCCTGACCTGACCCTCCCCCTCCCCAAGCTGACCCCTGTCCCCCTACCTGACCCCTGCCTCCTCACCTGGCCCCCTGCCTCCCGACCTGGTCCCTGCCTCCCGACCTGGTCCCTGACCACCCACCTGGCCCCTGTCACCCCACCTGGCCCCTGCCACCCCATCTGGTCCCTGTTGGCCTCTTGGCCGTGGCTCCAGCAAACCCCAGGCCCCCACTCAGCTGTGGCCCCGGGCACTACTCACCAGTCTCCACTGGACCCGCTCTTTCACCAGTGCCTGCGCACGTGCGGCTGCCTCTGCCTGCATGGCCTCCATTCATTCATTCAATAAACATTTATGGAGCACCTACTATGTACTAGGCGCCAGCTAGGCCCACCCTCCCGGCTCTGCCTCTCCCACCTGCTCCTCCTCCAGGGCCCCAAGGGGTGAACATTTCCCTGCCTTCCAACATCCTCAGGGCTGTCCCAAGGCAGAGTGGCGGATCAGGGGCCCACCAGGAGAAGTGGAGGCTCCGGGTGGCAGAGAGTGCGGCCCACTCAGAGGCAGCCTGGGGCAAGATGAAAACAGTCCTGCGCTTACGTGGGCTGGGCCTAAGCACACCTGGCGTTAACTGGTTTAAATGCTCAGCACAACCTTATTATTCCCACTTTACAGAGGTGGAAACTGAGGTCTCACAACTGCTACACAGTGGCTTTGACCCTCCATGGCATCAAGCTCTGGATCAAGAGATGCCATGGAATCCTGTTCCATCTGAATAGTCGTTTTTAGATTTTTATTTTTTTTATTAGCTGCCAAAGTTGAAAACTTGGGAGATTTTATTTTTAAAATCCCCATTTCTGCAATCCACTGAAAACCCTGGGAGACATGGCTTCCCAGAGTCTGCATCCCATCAGCAACAGAGCAGGTGTCACCTTCCCCGGTGCACCCACCTCCTGCCCACCTCTCTGGCTGAGGTTCCCACCGGAGTTTTCAAAGCCAGCAATAGAGGAAACCCCAGAGTGGGGACAATGAGTATCCCACCCTGTGGAAGGGATTCCATGAGCCTCCCTGTCTGGGGCACACGGGTACCACCATGCCTGCCTCACTGGCTTGGTGGCTCTGGGCCTTTTTGGGGGGCTCTCTGATTATGAGTCTGGGGCTCAAGAGTTCTATGATGTATCTATAATTCCTTGGTCCTAAATGTCTACTGAGTTGCCTCTGTGGGGACCATTTCTATGGAACTTCAAGCTGCCCTGACCAGTCCACAACCCTCACCGGCTAGGCTCCAAACAGGCCCACTGGGGTAGGAACCCCAAACCAGGGGAGCACCCATATAGGCCCCCAGACATGCCTGTCACTCTGTGGGGCCCCTGGCTCCCCAACAATGCTGCTTAGGTTGCTGGGTTAAGTTTGGGGCTCCTATTGGGGTTAATGGCTTACTCATTCCCAAATACAATTCCCACCCCATCAGACACTGCCAGCAGCCTGGGCTGAGGTTCTAGCAAGGCTGGTGCGGACACCAGCAGGCCTGAGGCCTAAGGCCGCAGCTGCTGAAGCCACACCCCGGAGCAAGGCCTGCAGTGCTAGGCTAGGTGGGGGGGGTTCTGGGATGGCCACAGCCTTTGGGTTCTCCTTGCTCTGCTCACCTGAGACTCCTGCCTGTCTTCCCCACTGCTTCTCCAGGCCCCATCTAGGGCCACAGTCCATCACACCCCCAAACCAGGCGGTCACATGGGGTTGCTCTCCTGGCAGTAAGACTAGTTTCTCTGGAGTGGAGGGGGACCCGTAGAGGCCTGCAGCTGTGGCATCAGAGAACAAGGAAGCTCTGTCCCTACAGAGGAGCCCCAGAAATGCCCAGGGGCTGGCCAACCCATGACTGCTGGCTGCGCAAAAACCATTGCTCGGGACACATGGCCACCAAGTCAGTGTGGCCAATCCACGGAGACCAGCCCTCCCTAAGGCTCTCCTGGAGGGGTGGGCCACAGCCAGCTCAAATCCCAGCTCTGCCACTGAACCACCAGCGTGGCCCCAGCAAGCTACCTCTTTCCTGAGTCTCAGTCTTCTCTTCTGTAAAATGGGACCAGAAAGGCACTACCTCAGAGAGTGGTAGAGTGAACAGCTACAGAGCAGGATCTGGCACACAGTAAGTGCTCACTAACGTTAGCCGCTGCTGGTACGGTTATGGGGCCTGGGTCCTCATCGCCCACTGATGTGACAATGGCAGCAGCAAAGGGACGAGGCCTGGCCCCTGACAGCGTCTCCCTTCCATTCTTGAGGGCAACAGCTCTCTTCGCCTGTCCCTGGCCCTCTCATAGGTCCAGCCCCACAACGACCTGCTCGACCTGCTCCCCACACCCTCTTCGGCCTGGGCCCCAGCCTCTTTTTCTCCCCATTGCCGAAGCACAATGGCTGTTATAATTAACGGATTATCTCAGTGCGACAGCTGTGGTCCTTTGAAAATTGGGTTGAATAACAAGATCCTGGCGTATGGTAATTTCTTTTCATCTCCTGCTCCCTCTTTCTCTCTCCCTCACTCCAGCCTTGTTATGCATGCAAATGTTTTCTCCCCTTTCCCCTCCTTCTCAAACACCTTCCTCCAGATGGCAAGGGGACAGACTGGGTCTGCTTTCCTTACCAGTCTGCTTTCTGGTGAGGAGACAGGTGGGAACTGCCCCGCCTGGGCCCCTCCTCTGCACCTGGCCCTGGAAAAAGTGCCTGACACAGGTGACTTCTGTCATTTCCCCACCGACCTGAGTCCTGACCCCTTCCTACCAAACCATGCCCACCCTTGAGAGGGACCAACGCTTCGGCTTTCCTGCCAAGCTGCTCCTCCTGCAGCTCCCCTGCCTTCCCTGAGGTCCTGGTCCCAGCCCTCTCTCTCTCCTACTCCCCCCACCCCCCCAGCTCAAACCCTCCCAGGGCGTCATTTACCAACTTCCATGTGCTGACCATGCCCAAACCACTGTATCCCTGCTGCTTCCTTCCTGGCACCTGACACTCCACCCATCCACGTCCACTAATGGACTGACCTCCCTCACCTGCCCACTCCCCACCACTGCGTCTGTCCCCCATTCCCTGGCCAGCAAGAAGCACCCGCAGCTGCCCAGCTCCCTGCACCTGGAAGGTCTTTGTGCGCCCCCACCCACTGCTGCTCTGCTCCGGCTTCCTTCCCCCGCCCCAAATGAATTTCTCAATTAGCATCCTCACTGGTCTCTGCCTCCAATCTTACCACCCCTTCCATCCATCCTCCACCCTTCAGAGGACGAGCAAATTCTAAAACGTTAATCTGAGCACGGCACTCTCCTGCTCAGAAGCCTCCATTGGCTCCCTACTGATCTGGGAAAATTCCAACAGCTGACGTCGGAAGCCCTGATCATGGGGTCCTGTGGAGCTGGTTCCTGCTCTCCTCTCCTGCCCTCCTGCCTCCCCCACCAATTAAAATGGTTGAGGGGGTCCTCCTGCGCGTTCCCACAGCCCCCTGGGCTTCCTCTGTCGTAACTGGAATCATAACTGCTGCTTTTACACCTAGACTGAGTTCTCCCAGGAAGGGCCCAGCTTCTCCATTAGAGCCAGCGCCGGGCGCCCAGTAGATGCTCAATACATATCTGTTAATGACTGAATGAAAGAGGCCTGCTCTCTCCCTTGATAGGTAAGGAAACCAAGGCTCAGTAATTAATGATTTGCTCAAGATCACACCGTCTGTGCAAGACAAACCCAGGATTTGAACCCAGGTCTGTGATTCCAATGCCGGTCTTTTCCACTCCCTGGGGAGGGCTGTGGGGGTCGGTTTCTGCACAAATCTTAGGGGACTTGAACCAAGATAAGAAGTGATGAGGAGATGGGGCTCCCTACCCAGGCTGTCACTGCCATGACCTTGAACTAGCCACATAACTCTCAGGGCCTCAGTCTGCTCATCTGTAAAGTGGGAAGGAGCCCAGCCTCACTCCCCATCTCAGAGGGTAACTGGGGGGGTAGAAACTCAGGTCTTGGAGAAAGCCCAGACCTGCTAACATCTGAGGGGTTCTCCCTCCTCTTCCCCCTCCAAATCCATCTGCAGTGCCCCTGACAGGCACTCCTCAGAGCTTGGGACCTTTCTAGAATGGGAGATGCCACACAGGACAGAGATACCCCCCTTAGTGAGCACTAGTGGGAGAAGCATGGGGGGTTGGGAAGCCAGATCATGACCTTGGGCAAAAAGCTTCCCTCTCTCCGCCTAGGCATTCTCGTCTTG